ATTGGGAAAGTTTTAAAAACACATAAAAAAGTAAAGTGGGAGCTATTAAACTTAGAGAATAGAAACATAGAAATTAGGAGCAGGAGTAGGCCATTTAGGCTTTCAAGCCTGCTTCACCATTCAATATGATCATCCCACTCAATTCCCCTTTTCCCATTTTCTCCCCATATCCTCTGATACTCTTAGCCCTAAGAACTGGATCTAACTCACTCTTAAAAGCATTCAATACTTTGGCCTCCAGAGAATTCCACATGCGGGCCACTCTGTTGGAGACGTTGCTAAACCAGCAATTTATATCAAAAAACAAGGATTGTAGGAGCTTCTTAAAACATTTAAAAAGAAAGAAAAAGGTCAAGTGAACATGAGCCCCTTAGAGAGTGACACTGGTGAAATAATTTTCCTCTGGATGCTCCAGTTTCCTCCCACAGTCCAAAGATGTGCAGGCTAGGTGGCTCAGCCATGCTAGGTTGCCCATAATATCCAGTGATGTGCAGGCTAAGTGGGTTGGCCATGGGAAATGCAGAGTTGCAGGGGGATGGGTCTGGATGTGATGCTCATCAGAGGGTCAGTGTGGATTTGAGTGGCTGAATGGCCTGCTCCCACACAGTAAGGATTCTATGATTCCATGATACTGCATTTTCCAAGAATCCTTTGATTCTGTGAAAGTCGCAGAGGATCGGAAAACTGCCAATGTGACAATTTTATTTGAAATAGGAAGAAGACAAAAAACAGGTAACTTTACGCTGGTTAGTTGAACATCTGTTATTGGGAAATTGTAAAGGGTGTAATAGTAGAGCATTTAGAAACATACAATATAACAATGGTTTCAGGAAGGGGAAATCATGTCTGACAAATATATTAGAATTCTTTCATGAGGTAGCAAACAGGAGAGATAATGGGGAGCCAGTCATTGTAATATATTTGGATTTCTAGGAGGCCTTGGATGAGCCAGTGCACATGGACTCATCTCATGAAGTAGCCCTATGGTGTTAGCGGTAGTTTATTAGTATGGATAGAAAATTGACTAACTAATAAAAGGCAGAGAGTTTGAATAAGGGACATTTTCAGATGGTAGCTTGTAACTAATGGAATGCCACTTGGGCATAAAAACCGAAAGAACTGCGGAAGCTGTAAATCAGAAACAAAAACGGAAGTAGCTGGAAAAGCTCAGCAGGTCTGGCAGCATTTGTGGAGAGCAATCAGAGTTAATGTTTCAGGTCCGGTGACCCTTCCTCAAAACTGATGGTAGCTGGGAAAATGTTGGTTTATATGAGAAGATGGGGTGGGGGGTGAGGTTAAGGAGCAAATGATATGTGGGGATAAAACCCAAAGAGAGAGAAGGAGTGGATAACGATCTGGTTGGCTGTATTCTGGCATATTGACCTCTAGATTGCAGAGGCTGAGTGCCAGCTCTCAGATACCTCCTCCTATCTTTCTCTGCACCAACCCCACCATGACGCTTCAGGCTGTTGTATCAACTACGGTCACTAACCTCATTTCATCTGGTGAGCTCCCCACTACTGCCTCCAAGCTGACAGTCCCCCGGCCCCGCACAGCTCCCTTCCACCTCCTCCCGACAGTCCACAAACAGGACTGCACAGGCAGACCCATTGTTTCAGCCTGCTCCTGCCCCACAAAACTCATCTCTTCCCGCCTTGATTTGGTCTTTTCTCCCCGGTCCAGAACTTGCCCACTTACGTTTGCAATTCCTCTGATGCCTTACACCAGTTTCGGAACTTTCGGATTGCAAGCTCTAGCCGCCTCCTCTTTACCATAGACATGCAATCCCTTTACACGTCCATCCCCCACCAGGATAGTCTCAGGGCTGTCCGCTTCTTCTTGGAGCAAAGGCCTGAACTGTCCCCATCCATCAACACCCTCCTCTGCTTGGCTGAGCTGGTCCTCATCCTGAACAACTTCTCTTTTAACTCCTCTCAGTTTCTTCAGGTCAGAAGGTGGCCATGGGTATCCACACGGGCCCCAGTTATGCCTGTGTCTTCGTGGGATATGTGGAACATTCCTTGTTCCAGTCCTATTCCAGCCCCCACATACAACTCTTTCAATGATGTATCAGTGATATCATCAGTGCTGCTTCCCTGTCTCATCCGGAATTGGAAAAGTTCATCGATTTTGCTTCCCACTCGCACTTTCACCTGGGGTCTATCTCTGACTCCTGCCTTCCCTTCCTCGACATTTCTATTTCCATTTCTGGGGATAGACTGGCCACTAATATCCACTATAAACCCACCAACTCCCACAGCTACCTGGACTATATATCCTTGCACCCTGCTTCCTGTAAAGACTCCATCCCGTTCTCCCAGTTCCTCCATCTCCGTCACATATGTTCTGATGAGGTCAACTTCATCAAAGGAGCCTCCGAAATGTCCACCTCCTTCGTAAACCGAGGATTTCCCAGCTCCGCTGTGGACAAGGCCCTCAACCGGGTCCAACCCATCTTCCGCACGTCCGCCCTCACCCCCTCTCTTCCCTCCCGCAACAGCGATAGGGTTCCCCTTGTCCTTGCCTACCATCCCACAAGTATCCACATCCAGAAGATCATCAGACGCCATTTCCGCCACCTCCAGCGAGATGCCACCACCAGACACCACCAGCTCCCCCACAGCCCTATGGCACCTTCCCTTGTAACCGGCGAAGGTGCAACACATGCCCATTTACCACCTCCCTCCCCAGTATCCAAGGGCCCAAGCATACCTTCCAGGTGAAGCAACACTTCACCTGCACTTCCCAGAATCTAGTCTACTGCATTCGCTGCTCACAATGTGGTCTCCTCTACACTGGGGAAACAGTGTAGACTGGGTGACCGCTTTGCAGAACATCTCTGTTCTGCTCGCAAAAAAGACCCTGAGCTTCCAGTTGCCTGCCACTTTAACACACCACCCTGTTCCCTGGCCAACATCTCTGCATCAGGCTTGCTGCAGTGTTCCAGCGAAGCTCAGTGCAAGTTGGAAGAAGAGCACTTCATTTTCCGCTTGGGGACCCTACCGCCCTCCAGACTCAATATCAAGTTCAATCATTTGAGGGCCTGAACTCCCCCATGCCCTCGCCACCCCCCACCCAACCCACAACCATATCATATGAAAGAAAACGGAGAGAACTGTGGATGCTGTAAATCAGGAACAAAAACAAAGTTGCTGGAATAGCTCAGCAGGTCTTGCAGCATCTGTGAAGGAAAAAACAGAGTTAACATTTCGGGTCCAGTGACCCTTCCTCAGTACAGGTTATCACATAGTCTGCCTTTACGCACTATCTATTGTTAGTCACTAACGGTCTCTATTAACAGCTTTTCACTGTCCTAGCCAGATCATTGTGCACTCCTTTGTCAGTCAACTGTCTTCTCTCTCTTAGGCCTCTATCTCCACCTTTAATCTACTCCTTACCCCCTCCACCCTATCTTCTGCATATAAACCAATATTTTCCTAGCTACCATCAATTCTGAGGAAGGATCTCCAGCCCTGAAACGTTAATTCTGATTCCTCTTCACAGATGCTGAGCTTTGCTAGCAATTTCTGTGAACAGTTTTGGCCCCCTTATTCGATGAAAAATATACAATCCAGAAAAGATTCACTAGGTTTATCTTGGGCATAGAGGGATAGCTTTATGAGAAGATTGCAGTTTTGAAGAATGAGAAGTGATCTTACTGAAGCATACAAGATTCTTAGGAGTATGACAAAACAGATGCTGAGAGACTCTGTGTGTGTGTGTGTGTGTGTGTGTGTGTGTGTGTCTGTGTCTGTGTGTGTGTGTGTCTGTGTGTCTGTGTGTCAGGACCAGAGCACAGATCTATCAAAGTCTTTACTGGAGAGGGCTGTCATGTTTGATTTTGGGCTATTCAAGGCTGTGATAGACAGATTTTTAATTGATAAGGAAATCAAGGATCATGTAAAAAGAAAAGGCAGGAAAGTGGAGATGAGGATTATCAGACGCGCCTTAATCTCATTGAATGGTGTAGCAGTTTTGATGGGCCAAATGATCAATACTTTTGCTCTTGTATCTTATCGTCCTGCTCCCTCCCTTCAAAATTAAACAGCTTCTTCACATTATAGGGCTGAGATTTAAATTGTACGAATCAGAATCTGTCTCAACTTGTTCCAGACTAATTTAAATTTCTGTAATCCAACATGGGATTATAGAAAAATACAGCAAAGCCTGAAATCTAATTCAAAAACTAATTTTCTTGAAAATGCTGTACATTTATTTAACCCATTTCTATCACTGTCAAACCTGATGATGTTTGTTTCTTAAACCCGTGTCTTTAAAAAGAGCAAACAATGTCTGCCAGATATTTGTTGTTAGTCCTAGGTAATGTAATTATGTGATTTTTATATTAGGATATATTTATATATATTACTTATATATTTGACGTTTTCTATCAATTTTCTAACATTGTTCTGTGAGTCTGTGCTAAAATGCCTCTTGCACAAACAGAAATTTAATATGTGCATCCTGTGGTGGTCTGTTAATAAGACTCAATTTCTATGCCATAGCAAACTGCTCTATTTTGGGAATGTAAAGACTGATGAAAACAGTATCTATTCAATTGCATGTAATAGAGCAACAGTGGCCAAAAATACAGCAAAGCTGATGGATTAGGTCATTCTTCCTGCAAACCAAAAATAATGCTAAGGCCCTTAATTTTAGATGGAGAACAATTAATCTGAAAGACTTTTCAAGGTTGAAAAAATACACTTTGTTTTTAGACAAAAATATATTGCGATGTTCCTGATAATATATTATTTTCGATAACTTCAGTGCAAATTAGATCTCTGAAACTGTTGAAAACATTGATGTGAAGTTTTTTAAAGGCATGTCAATAGGTTTATCACCTTCCAGCTGCATGAATGTTTATTAAGCATGAATTTTTGTCACCTGTAAAAATATTGCCAACCATTGTTTGAGAGAAAGAAGTTACATTAGCTAATACGAGTTTGAATGTGAAAGAGACACGGTCTAATAACTTAATTCTTAAACTCCCAAAACAGCAGGGAAGAAAGAAGTTCACAAGGATCACGATGTTCCAAAACCTGTGACTTCATCACCCAAAAGGCATGTCACACCTGCCAGCAAGCTTCACCCAGCAGGTAAGGAATATTTGTGTATCACTTAAGTAGTGTAACATATTCTTGGAAAAAAAGGAATAACAGGAAGTGTAGCAGACTTGTGGTAAATGTCTAAGACTTGTGTCTGACATAACCTCTCATACCGGTACTAGATGTTTAGCTGTAAAAACAGACATTCTATTAACATTGGCATGTGCCTAATAGGTACAGTCACTTACTTTTTTCGTATTTTATTGTAGAGCAAATTACTCTTTGCAAGAAAAGGTGGATTAAAAATAATCACTAAATGTTTCTCATGGTAAAAATAAGTTTACATTTGTCTCTTCATCCATGTAACTTTTTTTTAGCCCTGCAGCTGTCGAATTATCATCAGCATTATGATGATGTTTTCTGACTCTAACACATCCCACATCTCATTAAAATACAGCCAATTTCAAAAGCTTGAATCTCTCCCAGGCGATCATCTAATTACACTTTTCTATCTTGTAGCTTCTCACTATTGGAGAGTCAGTGACATTCTGTGGAGAGATTACAGGTTAGAACAGCCACTGAGTATTCTACCAACTGCCTGGGTTGCCTCTAAACGAAGTTAGAACTCATTGGGAAAGAGAGCTCATCCTCATCATTAGAAATAGTTGCAGATACTCAAGTGGTTTGTTAGAGTGCCAGCATTTTGCATCATACTCAGGGTCAGGAATTCATGATCAGGAAGCTTGAAACAACTGGGTCATTGTATCTAGCCAAAGAACCACTGAAGCTTTGCCTGTGAAAAGAAAGACTTGCATTTATTTGGCATTAAGCATCTCATACAGCCAATGAGATACCTTTGAAATATAATCATCCATGTAAAATACCTAACGCTGCAGCTACTATCTGCACAGCAACATCCCGCATAAAGCAATATGATAATGACTGGATAACCTGTAACTTCTTTTGTGTGATGTGAGCTCACGGATAGACATTGGCCAGGACACCATGAGAGCTCCCCTGCTCTTCTCCAAAGTGGCTTCATGGAATTTTTAATATCCCCTCAAACAGGCAGATAGAGACTTGGTTTAATAACTCATCTAAAAGACAACATCTCCACAGTGCAGCACACCCTCCGCACTAACATCAGCTTTGACTTCAGTGTTCAAACCCTGAATAAGGATTTGAACCTCGAGATTTAAAGGCATAAGTGCTATTAAAAGTACATCACCTGTCACTCTATATGCTCTATAATCATTGCTACAAGCTATCTACATAGTCCCACTTCATAATAAGATGCTGCAAAACCATCTCATTGGACATTCAATAGACAAATATCTTTTCATCACAAACTTGATCTTGTCTTCCAATGATAGTTTAGAAAAACCCCAGTTGGACTATTTTGGCAGAACAAACCTGTTCATGTCATCTTTTCAAAGCACGTTGACAGCAGGTCCATCTATTTCAACAGAGTTAGGGAGCACCTTTGTACCGCTCCTATGATCACCCAACAGAGAACAGGAAAACTATGTAGAAGCATTTTGCTAAAGAACATCTGTAAACCACCTCAAGAATGACATTGGTTGAGAGCTGGAAACAGGTCACCTGTTCAATTTCTTGACAGCAGCATGATAAAAGAAATGTGGGAAAATTGAGTGCTTAGTTGAAGTGAATAGCATGTGTACTCTTTGGGTGAATTTATATAACATATATGGGAGAAAGAAGGAAAGAGAATGGAATCAGGTGAAGTAGGGTTGTGTAGCAAAACCCCACCATGGACCTTTCTGGCCAAATGACCTACTTATGTCCCAGAAATACTGTGCTTTGCTAGGATAAAACTGTAGAAAGCAATGAACACTGTAAACACTTTTAAAAAATAGTTCTAACACAAAATGTCAACTCTTCTTACAATACCTTTCTTAACACTATCTGCTTGTTTGCTGTATGGATACTTCCTGTGTTGTCCATCTCTGCAGAGCTTTCAATGTAACTTAGCTACTGTGATATACATTCAAAGGCTCAAATTTAAGTTAACAGCTTCAAAATCTATGCTTGAATAATGAATACTTTTTTATTGTTTAATGTACATATTGTTAAATATGATAACTATATCAGACAATTTGATTTAATGTTTGATCTAAAAGTTGCTTTAAATTGGCAAGTTATGGTTCCTCCCAGGAGTTTGATAAATGAGCATACCAGTCTCCCCACGTAGTTCTGTAAAAACAAAAGGTTGTTATTTCAAAGAGTTGGCACATTCATGCATAACAATGGAAATTTTGAATTGCTTCACTATGTTGCATAGAAACTAAAACCGTTATCTATTGTTGTTTTGCCAAGGATGAAGTCATGATGCTTTACGAAGTTAGTACTACATTTAACTGGAGTTAGACTGTTACTTATTGAGGAGCTATGTGGGAGGCATTTCAACATGACCTTTCACAGAAATGTGCATAAAAAACTTGAATTCATAATAGGAAGAATAAAAAAATTGTAAATAAGTATATTGGTTTTGTTATAAGTGAGTCTGTTATTTAGACAACCCTGACATAGTTGTATATTATAACAAGTGCAGCACAGGAACTATTCTCAATTAGCGCTGCTACAAAGCACATTCATCTTCTGGTCCGAATATAATGCAATGTGTAGTAAGGAAGGTTAAAATTGACCACAGTCATCTGAATAGGTTTGCACCATAATGTCAATGCTATTTCTACATGGTACATAAGAGATGAAGAATCAGATTTAGAGGCTTGAAAAGTAGAAACAGAAGAAAGTTCCATTACCAACTTTCTTGGCTAGTGCACCGCATTAGAGTTCAGAATGTAGCTGTTATTGGAGAGTTTACATGGGATAGGCCCTGATTTTTTTTCTGCCTGCAATGGCTTCAAGCATAATAGTAAGCAAACAAATCAGTAAGCAACCAAGATTTTTGAGTTGTAGATATCCAGGAGTGTTTTGGGAACTAGCTTTCCCCTCCTTGTTAATTAAATTTTCACATTTTTGGCAGGTTTCGTTTTCTGAAATGATAATGGCAGCTCTTTAGATCAACCATTTCAAACTATAATGGAGTTTATTATATGCTGGTCAGATCAGCTGTCATTCTGCAGTCTAGCAAAATATCACAGATATACGGTCTGGCCCCTCAAGGACCACACTTGTATTTTGTTTTCATTAGATTCCAATGTTTGACAAAAAGCAAAAACATTAAATATGCATAGCATAGCAAATACTTAATACTTATTAAGCCAATACTTACTGCCTGGACCTGAGGCATGAAGAATAGACACTGGATTTTACGGGATACCTCACCAATTAAAGAGTTCATCGTAAGCCTGCCCACTATAAAAACCGCTGCCCTGCAACTATTTTTTAACATGAACTGACTCAATGAGAGACCTCATCTGCAGAGAAGTCCCACCAATCAGAGTGGTCAGCAACTCTGTATCCCAGCTTTGTCAGGCTCAAGTGGTGGCCACTGCTGGGTCTGCTGATAGTGCCTGAAAAAGAGAAGAGCCAGGCTTCAAGATTAAGTCTGGGTTGGCAGGGAGGTCAGCCATGACACTTGTTGGCCCATCTACTCTGCAGGCCTCTCTTCCCCACCTCCCCCGTTACAGGTAAAATGGTGGAGCTGGCAGACAGAGGTACTTGAATAGATATTATTTGGCCACATAAGGGTGGGCAGGCTGCCTACTGTCTCCACTGCACCCGCCAGATAATTTTCCATTGATGAGCTTCTTGTGACCTCGGCTAAAAATGTCCTCCTGTTGCTACTAACTTGTAATTACTCATTCTTTATTTTTTGTATATAACAAATAGTATGAAGTTGAATACCAGCCACCAGACATCCTGAGACATCTTTCCTGACCCTTTGGAGCTGTAGCTCTTTATCTCAGCATGTATGCTATACAGAGGCATTATGCTGGCTTTTCCATGTTGCTATACATTTCCCATTTCACTTACTTCAATGGCATTATGGACACTTTGGCCACAGAAGTGTGTCATTACATGCCCAAGAATTCTGAATTTAAAAAGTACTTAAGTAAAGATATTTCTTGGGTATCCTTGGAGAGGAAAAGGACTCTGTTCACTGGCATACTTAAGGTTTCTGTGATCATTGGACAAGGCGGGGCTGGAGTGAATTATCTCTGCCCAAAATGACATTATAATTGAAATTTAAAGTTATTTTTCAAGTTGTAAGTTTTTTTTTGTCACCATGCTCCTTCAAGGGGCAGTTGCCTTTAATTCGGTTTAACCGATTTAATTAAAATTTGCTTTTCAAAAGTGCATACACAAGCATTTACTGTCTCAGAAGTTGAATGGAGACTGGTGATAAGAACTGTAATGTTTCATTCTGTGAATGCATTTATTTAAAGTAAGGATGACTTTTGGATTCTTCCTTTATCAGCTGGCTTTTAGGAATATAACATTGTAGTAAAGAATTGTTCCCTAATGATGAAGGTTGGAAACTAAGGAAAAGGGAAAAAAAATTTAAACAAAAGATTACAACCTGAAGGGTCGTTGTACAAAAGTTTTAAAAAGGAAGTGTAAATTATCAAGGTATGATTACCTTTCTGACATTTTCATACTTTGAACTATATGACCAGGGGAAAATGAAGTGAATGTATAATGATATGGACCAGACCAACCCTCCCCCTCAAAATTTATTAAGAAGATAGCCTAGACCCTAACTTTTTCTTATTTTTATGTAAGTGTAAGGCATTATGTTTCAGATACAATTCGATTGGACAAACTGCTCAACTTTAAGCAAATAATGCTTTATTTTTACTCTACATTTAACATATAGAATAAACATAAAAGAAAAGAATTGGCTTAACTGTAACCCTATTGAAATGCTTAACAAAATAATATATATGAATACAACTAACTAATTGTTCCAATATAGTGACATTCCATAAACATGCCCTTAGCAAAGGCAAATTCGGTAAAATGTATTGTTTCACATGCAATTCTAGCAGCAGGGAGAGAACCCCAGCTTTTAACAGTGAAAGGAATAAGAACTTCCAAACCCAGCTTCAAGACTCCAACAACTG